AGATTACACGAGAAAAACGAAGAAGGACAGGCTACGGATAAGAATGTAAAATTCAGCCTCAAGAAATTCAAAAAATCTGAAGAGATTGAAGGAGAAGCGCCGCAACTGCGCAAAATTCAACTTCAGAAAAACGATGGAAGAAGGAGCGAATTATAATGCTAGATTTTATGAGACATTAAAAACGCCGATTCTCGCAGGAAAGCTATATAAACCCGGATTCCCCGAATTTCTGCGGATCGTTCTTTCTCCGGATTCCTAAAGGAAGTGCTCGATCTAGCCGGAATTTGAATTGGAACACCACGTGAAATACGAGAAAAGTTGGAGGCGAACAAGCTAATTATGATGCTGTAGCTTTTGAGGCATTAAAAAACCGACTCTTGTATCAGGGCCGATTAAAGACGAAAACGCAAAACCTAACAAAAAATTTCAGTGGGATAACACCCATGAATAAATGGCACACCAACCAAAGAAATCCAGATGGATTCGAGCGCCCTACACATTTCGAGAGCCCTTGGCTGGTTCGAGATACCGCTGTGCGACAAAGAAGGGCACAAAGCCATGTTTACCACAAATTCCTATTGGGATAACCGGAAAACTGAAGCATCCTTTTAGTCAAAAAATGCAATTTAAAATGATAAAACAAAGCATTAGCCAATTCGAAAACGAACGAGGCAACAAGCTGACCACTGTATTTTTTACGAAACAATGCCGCTTTATCAAATCGGAAAAATTCTGAAGAATAGAGAATTTCGCTTGTTCCACAGCAGATGGCTCGGACCACCAAGAAGCTACGAAAAAAGCGTTCGGAAAAACGCAAAAATCTTGAAGAATCCTGATGAAACCGGTAGAAGATAGATTGGATTAAAAATGACTACTTCTGCCTGAGGGTCAGCGCCTGGAAACCCGCCTTATACCTGGAAGAACGTTACTACCCTTAATGGAAGTCTCCAGGAATGGTGAGACACCGCAACTTATTAGAGGCCCATATACTATCGGGGAAGTGGAATCAGAAAACTTATGTGGAAAAAATAGGAAATCTTATGCAGCGTGAACAATTGAGAGAGAGAGGGAGAGAGAGAGAGAGAGAGAGAGAGAGAGAGAGAGAGTTAGAGAGACAGCGAGAGAGATAGAGAGAGACAGAGAGCGAGAGAGAGAGAGAGATAGAAAGAGAGCTAGAGAGAGAGAGAGAGGGAGTGGGAACGAGAGAGAAAAGATGAGAGAGATAGTGAGATATCAAAAGGGGTACTTGTGATCCACTTGTTGACCGTATTTCCTCTAATCGAACCCATTGGGTCCTATTTTTGCCATAAAACCCAAGCTTTGATGTTGTATTAGTGCTTGGTGATCAATTTTTTTCTGTTTTTTAGCAATTACAACGATTGTAGCAGTTCAAACTGCTCCTACCCATCCTGGAGAAGGGAATAAACCGAAACCTTCTTTGCATTTTTGCTTCTTCAATAAAACTTTAAAATATCGTTTGGTAGGGGAAGTTGAATACTAAAAGTTGACTAGTCGTAATCTAGGGCTTCAAAATTTACACAAATTTTCTATAATGACTTTTTTAGGTGAGGAGATGACTGGGCCGTTAAATTGGTATTACAGAACGGGCATCAATCGTGGAGGACCAACGGAATTGTTTTGCGCCCAAGGTTGGTATATTTTTAGCTTGACTGAATTCACCGCAGGATTTTGAAATATTAAATTTAGACATAATTTTAAAGATTTTGTAATAATGATAAGTGCTATAACATGCTGCTTTCGATGAGGTTCCAATATGCCCAAGAGCCAAAGATCGTATTATTTGAATAATAAACGAAAATCTCATAATGGCTTTTCGTATTAAACAACAAAAACAAAGCATCACTTTCCCTCTCGCTCTCTTCTCTTCTCTCTCTCTCTCTCTCGCTTTCTCACTTTCTCGCGCGCTCTCTCGAATCTCTTAGCCCTGTCACTTCTTTCTCGACCGTCCCCTTGATATCTTCTTCCATCGTTAACTATAATGAAAGGGCGTTTACTAGAAATGAAGCTTTTGATTATTTTTGGGGCCTCTGAACACCTCATTCCCTACAGCCAAGTTCGGGAGGTAGCAAAAATGGCGAGAAATCAATAGGTCGGTGCCCGGGGCGAACGCCAATGCAACATTTCACCGTTGTACACCCTGTTTCTTTCTTTCAGAATTTCGGGAATTCGTTGATTAAAAATCCCACGGAATTTTAGTATTTGACACTAAAAAAACTCAGCCTCGCTTATCCTCCTGCTGTTCTCTTGGTCTCTCCTGTCTGCCCTGCTGGTCCCCTAACTTACATGGTCTCCTATAGCCGTTCGCTAGATGTTCGTAACTCACACTATCTATCTCTGCTCGCTCTCACCCCCTCTCCCTCTCTACCTCTCTCTCTTCTCTCTCTATCTCTCTCTTCTCATATCGGTTTTCTCTCTCTCTCTCTCTCTTCTCTCTATCTCTCTTCTCCTCATCTCTCTCTTCTCTCTCTCTTCTCTCTCTTCTTCTCTCTCTCTTCTCTCTCTCTCTCTCTCTTCTCTCTCTCACTCTTCTCCCACTCTCTCTCTCTCTCCCTATCTCCTTCACTCTCTCGCTTTATCTCACTGCCATCCATTACTAGTTTTTACAATTTTCATCTAGATGTTCACTCCAACTTGGTGAATTCTACCAAAAACCAACGATTTCCTCGGCAAATCTTTTGGAGAAATTAATTACAAGATAACCTTCATTATCCTAGAAGATTTTAACAGCATAATTTGACGGACAACTTCAAGATTTATCGTAATTTCACAAAGGATCGCCTTTGCTGAGGATATTGGGCAGCGCTGGTGAGAGTATTACTCCGCACGCTATTGCCAATATTATCAAAAACGGAAGTGATCCAGCTGGAGAACATTCAACCACATGGTCTATTGATAGCACGTGAGGCCTTTCCTGCACCGGAAGTAATGAAATTATCAAGCCGTTTTTCATCCAAAACGTCAGAATAATCCCGGTTTCCTGGCTGATAACCAAGCGGGCCTAACGCGGAGAAGAGAATCTCATCGAGTGGCTGGGAAAATGGCTTGATGAAGAAAACGTCAAACCATGCATAGAAAAGATGACTATGAGGCTTCACTACCCAAATACAAGATACCCAAAGCTTCACTTCACCCGAATAACTCCCCATCCGGGAAAACCGGTGGTGCTTGCAAAAGACCGCATATCGAAGTAAGGGTATACGATATACAGATATACAAAGTATACGGAAACGCTAGAATAAACCTAAGGCTCAGACGGGCCGCGCCAAAACCAAGGCACATTGTAAGCTGATGCTCGCTTCCGGGGGAGCTCGAGCAAGCTTCTCCAAAAGGCAATACAAAGCAATTTAGTTTGAGCAAGTGGAAGATTGAGGAACCGCACTTCGCCGATCACGACCTCCGCAACGGCGGACCCCGGAGAGGCGTGATCCCGGCTTCCTAATCGAAAGATCCTAAACCGGCGTAACAAAGCTAAAATAATCTAGAAACTATATAAGCTCTGGGGAGCCGAAGATTACAGCTCAAGTTGGTTATGAAATCGAGCAACAGCCTTGAAAGTGAAGAATTGGTCTGACGTCTGTTGATAATAAACATCATTTCGACGAGATGATCAAACTTGAAAGTCCTGGTGAGCATGAGAATCCGCATACAAAATAGAAAAGGAAAAAACTTCGCTAATATTTGGATGACAACCGATGGAAAAATGAGTGGAGAAAGATAACAAAAATTTGTTTGAAAATGAAGACCACGACTGAAAGGAAGCCGACCCAGTCATGGAACGAGGCGTGGAACCCATATGGGGGTGCTGATAACTTCCCGGGGCTCATACTAGGCAGAATTTTAGGGTGCTGCTCCCTGCATGGCCAGCTTTCGAGGGCACAAAACCTTGAAAGAGAAGCCGCCCAAAACCAAGGAGTTTCCGCCACTGGCAAAATTAGAAGAACAAGCCAGCGAGCTTGAATTTTTTGGAAGAAGAAGAATAAGGCCCAATTTAGAACGTCACGCGACAAAAACCTTCTGAATGGCTAGACGGTATTGCGATTTCACCTTGGTGCTCCTAGAGATTTTTGAAGAAGGGCCCAAAAATGACAAAAATTGAAGACGACTGAAGAAAATAAACGCTCATTTGCGCTTGCTAATTTTTGCGAAAATCAGAAAGTTGACAGCGAAGTGAAAGAAATTACGTTTGGCATATACGCGGTGAAAAGTTTCGCTTGTCAAAATATGGGGCTTGGGCAGCGTAACCACGGAAGAATCTTCTTATTCAATACCTCATGCTCACTAGCGAATACACAAAAACGAATCCCGAAATTAATACCTTGTCAGTGGCCAGATATTTGCTCCAAGTTTGAGGTATGGTAACGCTCCCACTACCGCCCTAATATCAGGCTTCAATCAAGAAAATACGTAAGCAAATGTGGAAATTCCAAACTAAAACCAATTCCAAACTAAACACAAAATTAATTCCAAACCTCATGCTCATTACCGAACGAATATGAAGGAACCAGCCCAGAATGTCAAAACCTTTCCAATGGGAAGAGATTTTGCTTTTGTAGGCACGTTAACCTTGCCACTACCGCCCTAATAACAGACGTAAAGTAAAATGAGGAAGAATCAGAAATTGAACCCAGCTGCAAAATGATGACAGACGCCTTGATGGAAAAAGACTGATAGGACCCACGCGACAAAAAAGTTCTGAATTACCAGACTGCTGATTCAAATCACCCTCGTGTTCCTAAAAGTTAATTGGGAAGCGAAACGAAACCAAAAAAAATCGAAGAGGACTGAAGAAAATAAACGTTCATTTGAGCCGGTTAATATTTGTGAAAATCAGAAGGTTGCCACCAAAGTCAAGGAGATCGCTTTCGGCAAATAAGCGATGAAAAGTTTCGCTTGTCAAAGATGCAGATTGGAGCGGCTTAACAACGGAAAACGGTCGACGCGGCGCGGGAAAGTCGCCACAGCGCTTCAAGGAACTGCCAATGGTTAGTTTTTATCGATTTAACAAATTTGATTTGATTTTCGTAAAGCGCCGAACACATTTTAATAATTAAAATCTCAAAGAAGTCTGGCAGAAATTTGGTATGCATAATTTGGGTTTGTACGCAAAGTAGAATGCTGCAAAAATTGCGGCATAAAATTTGTCTCGGAACCGTACGCGTGGAAACATTTAAGATCTTTCTCAAGCTACGAAACGTTTAGAAAACCCTACGAAGAGCGGTTTAAACCTTAAAAACCAAAAATAGCGATAGGAATTTTTAGCTTATATTTGTAAAAGCTGGGGCTTATCGGCTAAACGCGCTTAAGAATCTTGCTTGTTTGTAGCCGAAAAAATAAAAAAACCTTCATTAATCAGCGCCAAAGCCCGTATTTTTCCAGAGACAACCGCTACGTGTGGTTGGCACTACAAGACGGGAGCTGGCTACGAGTACGGCTATGTATTACCAGATGGAGACCAAAGACCGTGGTAACCTAACCTCAGTCCCAGCGTTTCATAGCCGTTTTTTAGTACGAAATTCTGCAGGCAGCGAGAAGACAGACGAGAAGATTGTTGGCTTGCATTCCGAATGGATGGTAAGCGATGCGATAAATGTGAATTGGTAGTCATATTGTCCGAAAATGCATAATGCCCAGCCCACAAGTCGAAATAGCAATGTCGAAGTTTCATAATGTCGAAATAATATAATGTCGAAATCTCCCGTAATGTCGAGGTTTGAGGTAATCGCTCGAAGGATAATACCGAATAGTCATAATGTCGAAATTTCATAATGTCGAAATTTACATATGCTAATTACCGGTGAAACCGCCAAATCCTAGCCAAAAAAATTTTTTCCACATTCATTTTTTTTATCTTATTTCACGACAACATTTTTTGCCTAGAATTTTTTTTACTGGAAATTTTAGCTTATGTAAATTTCGACATTCTGACATTTCGACATTATGACATTTCGACATTATGAAATTTCGACATTGTGACATTCCGACATTATGAAATTTCGACATTATGAAATTTCGACATTATGAAATTTCGACATTATGAATTTCGACATTATGAGTTTCGACATTATGAATTTCGACATTTTGAAAATAAGCCGATAAATGTATATAGATAAATAATAACGCCCTTTAAGAAATTAGGTGCTAGGTGCTAGCAATTTTTTTAATTGGGGCTAGACTCGTAAAATATATACTTTGATAAAATTTTTAGTCGTTTACTGTCATTAAAACACTAGGAAACTGATTAGAACATCGGTTCTTTAGGATTTTGGGGGAAGGATTCCGGGGACCAAATTTTTTCCTGGTTGTCCCGGTTGACCTAGTAATCAAATATAAAGCGTTTTCACATTGTTTTTAGTAAATTTTAACGATATTTAAAGTTGAAAAAGCTTCCAAAAAAGTCAGAAAAATGTTTGAAAAAGTCGAAAATTTAGTCATAATCCTAAAGGTTCTATAGGATTTTTCGACCTAAAATCAAATTTTTTAATTAAAATGTGGGTAGTTTTTATGTTCAGGAATAATTAAAAACCATTTAGAAACGCATGCGCTATTTATAAAAAAAATTAGGCTTGTGCCGAAAAAATTTGGTTTCCCCCCGCCCCGGAAATCTCCCCCCCGCCCCCGGAAATCCTAAAGAACCTGTCGCTTTATTGCTAACGACTCTAAAGGTCGGTTAGAATCGAATCCACGAATTCTTCTTTTTTAGAAAGCCATCATCGTGCGCACATCTTCGAATTACGAAGCGAGTAGCGTGAGCAGGCACCAAAAGACGGAAGGCAAAAGAGAAAGCTCTCTACATATCATTCTGTGTTTTTTTTGTAATAAAAGCTATTGAAAACATTGTTGTCCGCGCCAATCCAGGAATAAAAAATGCAAACAAAACGATTCGCAACAATTTCTCTAAACGTTCCATGATCGGGTAGAAACGGTCATCGTTCTAAGCCGTTCTAAGAAGCCCTTTAAATAAGATTGTACCGTGCAAATCTTGCCATTTTCGAAGGCTTTTCCTGCCTGTCACCTCTCAATCCTAGGAACGCCGTTCGGTCTGCCAAAAAAAAGCCACAGACAGAATCGATAGGCCACGCCACCGACGGCGCAAATGCAACATTGCCCTGTCATTTCTTTGATATGCAGCGTGGGCGTTTTCACGTTTGTTTTTATTAGCTTTTCTGAGCATATTTTGCAGCTTCTTCATTTCACGTTGACGCTTGCTTTATTTCCGTTACCGTTTCAAAAACCTTCAAAAACTTATGAGAAAGCAGGCTCTTCCAAGTTCGAGAAAGCTCTTCCAAATAACCATAGATTTTTCGCTCACAAACCTCTTGGATTTCAGCTGATCTTTCTTTTTATGAATTTCAATTTTTGAATGGGTACGTTCATTTTTCGGCCATTTTGAATCGATTTTAAAATCTAAAATACTTTCAAAATTTGAAGATTTAAAAAATGAAAAAGCCGATCAGCTCAAGTTTTAAAACCATTCCATGGATTAAGCATTTTCATTTGTCGTTTTTTGTTCGTTTGTTGAACGAAAAATATCTGATTTTTGGTTTAGGTTAACCCTTCGATCTCGGGCAGTTCTACCACGATTTTTGCACGATTTCATTCGATCAATCGTCAAAATATTCAAAATTTTACACAATATTTGGAAGACTTATTGTGAAAGGCAAATTTCGGCAAGCGACAAAATGTCAGGAGCCCGAAAACGCACATGAGAGCAAGATCAGAAAAAGGAGACTCTGTTGTAACATGCAGAATTTGCCTTGTTCTCGAAAGGCTATCATAAAAGTATTAGGCTACAGCTTACAAACTGTCAAAAGATTTACATCGTCAGCTGAGCCCCCGGGCTGCCGTAAAACACTGCAAAATGCATTAAAAATTGCGAGACGGTGAAAACACCCTAGGCCAGCTTCTCTAACTGCGGATCAGGCCAAATTCGCCGTGTAATTCGATCAAATCAATCCCCGCGTTCAGGACCAATATGGAAAAAAAGAAAAATTATCATCATTCCGCAGCACGATGACTTGAAAAAACTGTGGTCCGAATCTCAGAGAAATTCTCTCCAAATGACAGCGGAAAAGACCGAAGAAGGTCGTATTTGAAGCGGATCATCGGAGGAATGATCCAGCTAGTGTTCTTGTGACGATCGACGTAATCTATCCGGCAAAGAACTAGCACTGACCAAGAACGGGGAAGAAGCAAAAAAATCGTCCCGATGCGGCCAAGGCGATAACTTGATAAAGCTGAAGTCGGAATCTCAGCGAAATCCCCTTAAAATGACCGCAAAAGAAAACGAAAAAAAGTCGAAGTTGAGGCGAATCATCGGCGGCATGGTGGAGAAGGTCTTCTTGTAAAAATTTAAATATAAACAACTCTAAAAAATGCGAGCCGAAAATCTACAGTACTGAGCATCAAGGTCGTCAGATGGTGACGTCAGCTTGTTAAGGACAATCCGTACAATAGAATCGAAAATTTGGATGCAAGTGAAAATGCTGAGTTGCTTTTTCAAAAGGATTTGCAAACGTTTTGTATATGCTATCGGAATAATCTAAGTTTGCGAAGCAAGCTCTCTACCCGAGAACAAGTGAAGAACATCAACTGAAAACGGCAACCCGGCACACCTATGCGACAGCGCAGTGAGTCGAATCTTGAGGTGATAGTGCCGAAAAAGCGACAGCTTTTCTATTAAATCAAGAAGTTTCGGAAGGATACAAGATCGTAAGGACACGGTAACACAGTTGCCGACGCAACTGCGTTCGAAAGGACCCGGGCCGCGCTTCATCGTAGAGAACAATCGGGATTACATGTTTTGCATACAGTTTTGTAATTTTCGATGCCTCCCGATATGGCCTATTCACAACAGCTGAAAATGAGCGCAAAAACAACAATGCCCGGTGGGGCATCCACGAGCGTAAATGGCAGCAAAACTGAGGCAATAGCTTCCGACAGCGTTGCGTCAATGCCGTCAAGCGCACCGCAACGTAGCTTCGTTCCAGCTTGAGGCTAACTATAAAGTTGAAGCCAAGCGTCCGTTCGGTCCCTTGATTCAGGCTACAGCCCAAAATTAAAATTTATATATTCATTTATACGTTCTCGTCACGGCGAAAAATCCCGGATATACGGGGGTAATGGCCGTCAATATCGGCTGTTTACAAGCTAGCACCAGAACTTAACCCGCCGATCTCAAGCCAAAATCGTAAGCAGCGAATCAGGCAGTGGATAATTTGAATCGAATTTCAATATTCCTGCCGGCCACACCACTGCAGGATCAAAAAAGAATAAAAAATTAGATGATCAGAAGAAGCGGCGCTCTTCGCCTCTCTAACGTAAGATCAGGAATGAAATTGGATACAGGCGTCGGTCACGGACCAGCGAGCGGTAGGGCAAAGAATTCCAAGCTGACCTTCATCAGTTAGCTTATGGCTGAGAAAAGCACGATGACAGGTGGTCGCTAGGGCCCAATCACAATAGCGCAGCGACCGCCAGAAAAAAAGCTGGAATCCGCACCGAAATAATGTCGGAAACTGAAGGCAAAATTCGAGGTCAAAACCAGCTTCCGACATATCGTAAACATCAAGTTCCGATTAGTGGATAATTTCAATACAATTTTAATACTTCTTCATGGAATACTTACCCACGATCAAAAACAGAAGAATACATAAAAGTAGATGATCAGAAGAAGCGGTACTGAAAAGCTGCATCTTCAAAATCAGGAATCAATTTGGACCCAAGGACCAGCGATGAAGGAAGAAGAAAAAAGAGCGAGAGAGAGTGAGAGAGAGAGAGAGAGAGAGAGAGAGAGAGAAGCCATGATTAAGAACAATAAGATTGAGAAAAATATGGATAAGAACAAAAATGCCAGGCCCCGCGGGACAGTGTTTGGGCCTCAATCAACTCGTTCCTCTCACATTTACTTAAAACGACGTTAATGCGGACAAATAAAGTACAGGTTCATTCGAGAAATTTGAGATTGAGATGCCTGATTGAGCACAGAAGATCCCTGATTCGCACCATCTACCAAAGTGGGTTACGATGCGATACGATGCGGGTGAAAACGCCCAAAAAAATCTCGGGATCACTATATTCACGACTTAATTGATTCGCTTAGGGCCTTAGCCTACGCTCAAAAGCTATTTCGTGAACTCGCGATAAAACGGTAGCCAACCACGCTTTCGCGAAAATTGAACAAAAGTCAAAAAGTCCAGCAGCCCGACTAGATAAATTGGAAACACCTAAACCCAAAGCCAAAGAAAATGTGAAAGACGCCGTGAGACCTCGAAAATTTGCGAATGAGGTGCCTGATTGAGTAAAGAAGGTCCTTGCTTGGAAGCATCCAGCGACGGACGTTACGATCCGGGGCAAAACTACCAAAAAGCTCGGGTTCGCTAGCTTTCCGACTTTATCGAGCCGATTAAAGCCATTAGCGCAAGTTCACGAACCCATTTCGTGAATTCATGAAAACGGCAGTCAGGTCCGCAAAGCAGAGCAGAAGCCCGACTAACAAATTGCATGAGCGCAAAGAAAATCAACAAAGAATCTGATTTTGAAAGACACCGCGAAGCGTCTAAAATTTGTGGAGAAGATGCCTAATCCATTGATGACGTTTTGCGATGTTTTTCCCGTCCTAAATGCAGTGGTCGAATCGAAGAAGCTGAGCAATGACTAGGTATGTTCACGTTAGATTTAAATGACCAAAAAAAATTAGGTTCAAACGGCCCTTTTTAAAGTGTAAATGGCGCAATTAATGGCTGATGGTTTGGATATTTTAGCCTATCGATATGCAACCGTGGGCCGTAAAAATCCAGTAGAATTCGTACCGGAAATTCATAGAATCCTTTAAAAAGGGCCTCAAATGTCAGAATCGCTTGGGTGTCGTTACCTAGCCAATATAAGGGTATTTCCTTGCACCCAGAGCCCATTAATGCATCCAAAATCTAGTATATCATAACCATATCAAATAATCATTAAAAAGACAATGCATGGCCATTCAATAATTCATTTTCTGGATCGATATTTTAGTCAAGCCGGCTGCGACCACGCGATAAACAGCTTTTATGGAATTTTTAATTTTGATGGTGCCATTCCAACATTATCTATCCGTGAGTATTTTTTTAAGTTCCAAGTCTTAAATATTTTTTCATAACCCAAACCAACGCAAACTAGGCTTTCCAGGACCATATTCCTTCACCAGATATTTGAGGAGAGGAATTAAATCGCGCAATGGATTTGTTGTCTGTACGGAAAGGTCGAGGTATCTTTGGTTTAAAGGGACGGGAGCCGTCTCCCTTGGAAGCAGAATTTTCTATGCAAAAACCAAATCTTCAAAGTTAAATTTAATTTACTGCGATTTTTGACGTTTCATGCTTGGAAACCTCCAAAACATCAATCCAACCGCACAAAAGTTTCGAAAACTAACTATTTTTGACGGACTTTTGGTTTAAATTTGGCCTTTTCTAATCTTTATTTTTCCGCCTGCGGACTTTTTGGCAGTAACGAATTTTTCGGAGTCTTCAAAAATTCACAACGATTTTTCAAAACTATTTTTCAAAATGTTGCGATTTCGGGATAATCCTTTTCAGACATCTACAGCCCACGACACCTGCTAGATCGTCGAAATCCGTCGATCCGAGATTGACTGAGACCGTCTCATCAACTACCCCGTCGGGCGACGACACGAGGATCTTTGGATTCGTTTTGGACATTCTTTTAATAAAGATAGCGTTACGAAATGCTGTGGACTTGACAAAGCACATCTACCGGTGTCCCAAAAAAGCGACCCTCTCTAGCGGACTGCAGTCATGCCTGATTTTGATCACGATCTGGCCTTTTTTCGGACAGCTAGGGGGTGGGGGATCGATGTTTTTTGGGACACCCTATATTTTTATTTATTTTGGATATATTGGAGCATTTTTTATTTATATTGGCCATATTTTTAGATCATCATGCGCAACCAAGATTCGCAGGTGTTGCAAAAACCGTGTCAGAACCACCCATGCACGATCTCAAGGAGCTGGAAAATCTTCTGGTTTTAACGCTCAACAAATTCATTGGAACATGCGAAAAAGCACTCACAATCAAACCTACATAAACAACCCTTCGTTTTGCCTATCATATGCTCGTTCGAAATTAGAGCCTTTCAAAAAGCCATCACCGTCTGTTGTCGTTTGTAAGCTCTTGCAAAGAACTCTTCCGTTAAGGATGAACGTGAAAATCCCGGTCTCGAAGAACGCTTTCCCTCTCCGTCACCTCTTAATCTTGGGAACGCCGTTCGGTCAGCCAAAAAAAGCCACCGACAGAATCGATAGGCCACGCCACCGACGGCGCAAATGCAACATTGCCCTGTCATTTCTTTGATATGCAGTTTGGGCGTTTTCACGTTTGTTTCTATTAGCCTTTTCTGACCATTTGTCTTGTGGTTTATTTTTAGTTTCTTTCCCTCGATTCTAAGACTCCCGCGGGCAACTCAAAAACCTTTAAAAACTTCTGAGAAAGCGGGATTAACCAACAATTGTGTTTATATTTTTCTTGCAGCCAAAATTCATTTTCATCAGCTCTTCCCATTCCTGAATTTTTGTGCTCTTTGAATTTTTGTATGTGTCCATTTTTGAACCAAATTGAATCGATTTTATAATTTAAATTTTTTTAAAGAGGTAAGGACTTTAAAAAGATGAAAAAGCCAATCAGTCAGAAACTGAAAGCTCTACGATATTTTTCCCTTTTGCCATTCTTGTCCGTCTGTTAATCAAAATTCACCTAATTTAAAAGGATTTTGTTTAGGTCAACGCCTCAATCTCGGGAAGTTCTACCAAGATTTCCACGATTTCATTCAATGACTCGTCAAAATATACGTAATTTTTATAATTTTTTGAAGACGTAATATGCCGTTTCAATTTTGACAAGGCAAAATTGTCTGCTGCACAAAAACGCATACCAAGAAAAATGAGAAACCCAGTGGAATTGAATTTGGTTGAAGATCTGATCTAATCAAGCTCTTCTCTCTCTTGTTGCTTCACTTACCCTTAGTTGCTTCACTTACAATTTGTAAAACAAGAAAATTATCAAGCGGCTGCAAGGCGAGCTGTACTCTACATCTCATCTCACCTCAAAATGAAGCAGAAAGAGGACGAAGAAGGTCAAAGCTCAACCAAATCATCGGCGGAATAGTAGAAAAGATGCTCTTGTGAAAATTGGAATTTTCTATAATGCCACAAATCTTGTAAAGCGCAAATCGACGAATATGAGCAGTAGTTTGTTTGCTCCAGCTGATTGATTGCGAAATCGTGACGTAGCGGTACAGAGCGGATACATCCGAGTTTCATACGCTCTGGGATCATCTGCTTTTGCGAAGCATCCCCGATTACTAAGAGAATGAAGACTCGAAGAAGGGAAAACGGTGACGTGATGTAAACCCAAGACGCGAATCCGCCTCAAAACCTGCAGTGGTTGTGCCAAAAAGGGCGGAAGTGTTTGTTAAAGTGTCCAACTACAAACCCTTACCAAGAAGAATGCAAGAACGTGAGGATACCGTAAAATTCGGTGACGTAAGATAGAATAAAAGGGTCTGTTAACGCTAGACCTTAAAAACGTTAATGCTCGCATGCAATGGATTAAATCGGAATTGAATGATTTGCATCGAGTTTTTCGGCGTTTGACTTGTCCGTAACGTGCCGAAATAAGAATACAATCAGTGCAGAATTTTAACAAGCTTGCTACACAACTTCCTGGATAATCTGTTCACCGGCGAAAAAAGAATAAGAAGCACTTTCTGCAAATTTGGAACCGGAAATTGGGCTCGAGACTGGCCGGGGCCCCCGAGATTTCGGGCCAAAAATTTTGAGCTCAAAGGCTAACTTACAAGGTTAACTCATGACGTATCAAAGCAAAACTACGGAGGACCAGCGCAGCTATGTCCCAAACACAATAACGGAGCAAAGGCCAAAAAAGAGATTGGCAGTCCCGCCGAAATCATGTGAAAAAGTGAAGTGAAAATTCGAAGTAAAAAAGAGCATCGGATGGATGGCGGATGTCAAGTTCTTGTATAGATTAAATTAATTGAACCTGCGGGCATGCGTGGGATTCGAATACAAAACCGGCCTCATGTGGGCATCCAAGAGTATAAATGACAGCGAGACATGACGCACATAAGCGATCCAGCGCTGTGACAAAGGAAACACGCCGAAAAACCTCATAGCTTATACGCAAAATTTTAGTAAAAAAATTAGATTTGCCGCCAATTCTACGCACTATTCACGGCGGAGGATACCGGAAATATCGGGCAGTGGCTGTCAAAATCTAATGTCTGCAGCCTTGAGTTGGATCGCTTGACCAACATCAAAATAAAAGCATGAAAGCAGATGCTTAGAAAAAGTGAATGAAGTTGCTCGAAGAGATTAGCAAGTTTAGAGGCAGTGTAGAATATGAGTGCATTTTGAATGCAACTTCATGGAGCACATCTTTACCTTCCAAAAAAAGGAGAATCAGGGTAGATGCCTAGAAAAAGTAGCCCTCTCTTTTCGTTTGAAATTGGAAATTGGACCCAGCGAAATCTCTGGGAAAAGACAAGCCAAGAGGATGCGAAAAGCGTCTTCTGACGTATGGTATACATCAAGTCCTTAGATAGATTAAATTAGTGGAACCTGCGGGCTACACATCAAAACCTGCCTGGTGGTGTGAACAACAGCAGCGGGCACAACCTGAGCCAAAATTCGACGTGCTGAAATCAAATCCAAACGCACAAATTCTACCGGTATTGGCCAAATTTGAAGACATTTTCGGAATTATCTATGCTTATCGCGTCGCGCCCGAGGTCAGAAAAATAAGAATAAGAATAAAGCTCAAGTCGCCAGATTTACGGCCTAATGCAGCGATGGAGAGGCATTTCCTCAAGTTCAAGAAATCGTATCGAAATTGGTGAAAAAACGGCTGCAAGGTCCGCGAACGTCCAGTTCGAAAAAAATTCAAGCAGAGAAGAAGCCCAATTTTGTAAATTGCAATAACTCAAAGGCAAAGCCACAGAAAATATACTTCTGGAAGACGTCCGAAGTGATGCGGGATTGCGTTGAGTTATGAGGTCGGAAATGGTGATGTTAATTCTTGAAGATGGCACGCAAGGTATGCTAGGTATGTCAAAGCCAAAATTATATTATTAAAAATATAGCGCTTTAAAAGATGTGAGCGGCATAAACCGTTACTGTTTTTTCGATATCCTAACCAATGGATCAGCTGCCGCAACACGCAACGCAAGGCGCGCGTTTCCTTTTAATTGCATAATGCATTGGCAGCTACGCCGAACCAAGCGGCGCGTTGCGTGTAGCGGAGCCGTAAAAATCGGAAATCGGAGATTTTGAGTAAACAAAAGCCACAGCTAGCCCTTTCCTTTAAAAAGAAACTGAAATAGCAGAATCACTAAAAATTTTGGCTCTGGCCTGCTGCAGTACGATCGACAATTTGTTTGGAACTTTGAATTTTAATGGTATCGATCCAACTTCTCCAACGTCCCGGTCTACCAGAAAAAATGTAAAAAGGAAAATTCCACATTGCAATGACCAGCGCGCACATAAGTAAAAATTTTCGCTTTTTTCTTTATCGAAATATCGATTAATCTTCAACGATCAACACTCGTTTTACAGGGAAACTTGACAAATCCAAGATGACGCAGAAGACTTCCTCTGTCCGGACAGTAGCCGCACCAGTTAAAACACAAGGTATCCCTGTTTTTGAGAAGCTTAAAAGAACCCGAAGGTGCCAGAATCAACCCCTTCAGCTCACTAGGTCTCGACAGCTACGAATTACGACAAAATAAATTTATTTTTATAACTTAAAAATGCTTTTAGCGATCGAAAAATTATCACATTTTTTGAAAATCTCGGCGTCGCACGCCGCTGTGAAGACCTGGGAAACCCTAGGAGTAGATTTTGAAGTTTTAATAGAGTATAAAATAACTTTCGCGAATGTAATTATACTTACTTTTTATTTCAGAGAGTACGGTCTGATGTCAATGATACGCGGATTTCAGAAAATTGAAGTTGTGGATCCCGATCTGTTGCATGACCTTTTTAGTATAAAGCCACAATCGCACACGAAGTTTTTTGCAATATGGGAATAAATTATTATTCTACGGATAGATTACACACAATAAACTTGATTAAAAATTCATTTTTAAGGCATTTAAGACGTAAGAAAGTATTTATTCATAACCAGTGTTAATAGATATGTTAATAGGTGGAAAATGAGTCATTTAATGGTTTGATTTTGATCTGGAGTTGTTTAAACTATAGTAGATTTTTGAGGATATGAGCATAAAAAATTTAGGGCCTGCTAAATGTTTTTTTACGTACTAACTAGGGAGGTATCTGAACTCGGCATCGAACTTTATGAAGTCAGATACACCATTCGATGCGCCTTGTCGAGGGGATTCCAAATATGTAATAAAATCAACCAGAGCCTATAACGATAAAAAGTTATGAGCATTTTAAGGTTTGCAGCGAAAACCACCGCGGCGATATGAGCCCCTCCCAGCGCACCCTGTTCATCGGCCCCCGTGGCCTAGTGGTGTGCGCATGGGTCTCCGGTCTGTACGACCAGGGTTCGGATCCATTCACGATTTTTATTTTTGCTTTTTTGACCAATTCCTACTTTTTGCATTTTCAAACTCGGGAATAAGTTTTTCTTGACTGTGTGACCCCTAAAAGGCACCAGCGATGATAAAATAACCTCGGGTAACAAGACCAGGATTGGACGCTCTCTATATCAAAGTTGGCAAAATCATCAAAAACCGCCCTTTTAAGACTCTGTACGAATTCGAAGAATGTAATTTGTCAAGAATAGAACAGTACATCTTGATCAGCAGAAAATTCTCTTTCGAATGGGCTATCTTACATAGGCTTTACGCGAAATTCTCGAAATGTCTTCGGCAAGCTGGCCATACCCTACCCTTACACTGCATTCCAAAAATATTTTTTGCGGAAATTTTTGGCAGCCGTATGTAATATAGCTCATTTGAAAGAGCTTTCTTTGTTGAATAAGGAGC